GGACAAAACAAAAAATTATAAAAATAGATAGGTAGATCTACGAGAGAAGACTAATGAAAATGGATAAGGTAATGGAAAAGAGAGTTAGATATTTAATACCTGTTAAAAAGATTAGAAAACAAATAAAAAATAGCAAAGATGCAATTAAAAGAAAAGAAATTATAATATTATGGACAATATACATTATATAAATAAGGGAAAAATAAAAAAGAATCAAAATAATTTTAAAAATTATTTTCAAAAAATAACAAATTATGAAACAAAAATAAACAAAACAACAATGAATCTGCATATGAAAGAGAGACAACGCATAATCAACAACTTCTTTCTACAAAGCGGTTTTCATATAAAAATAATGGAAATTAAAAATAAATATAGTAGAAAAACGAGAAAATAGCGGAATTGTAAAACTAAAACACCATTATGAAATAATGTCAGAAGAAGCAAGAAAATAAGGGACATTATAAAACTTCTATTATTATACATTATTTAAGTTCTGTAATTTTATTTTTTTTATATTATATTCTATATTTGTATTACTCACTTCTGTTTGGTATATAAACGAACGATTTTCCAAAATATTTGTTCGGTAAGGCGTGTGTTGCAATCAGCGCAGTATAAGGGTGTTTTAAATCAAAATTTATAATATTTATGTTTGTTTGAAACGCATAATAGAAAACTACTTGTGTAATAAAATATTATATTTTTAAATGGAATATTCTAGAATATTCGCTTCCGATCGCAAGTCAACAGGCATATCGTTTTTTATATGTTTTTTTCTGGAAAACATATCGCGACACAAATTATCCTGTCGTATAAAAACACGCTCGAAATATAAACAATTAACGGTGTCGCAACCGTTCCGCCGCCGAATAATTATATTTTCTTGAGCATGCGCGGCTTCTCACGGGCGCCTCGTTTCGCCAATAATCATCGTGATTGCCAGCTCGCGCATGCTTTCTAACAGCCGTTGTTCTGTCAAATTTGACAGCGGCCAATTACGCGTAATACGCTCAGGTCACCTCGCGCAACTTTAAAAAGACGCAAAATTATTGGCGCGTCACACGAAGGTGGGCTCCGCTCCGGAAATTATAAATGAGGAGCTCTCACCCCGCTTGCCAGCTTTATCGCTTTTCCGTCGTGAAAACATATCGCAAACCGCTTATCAGATAAACCGCAAAATTCGTTGACGACCGCCGCTATTCCGCACTTTGATTTTTGATTCCGATTTCACTGTAAAGATAATTAAGGTTTGTAATAAGTTGTTATAGTATTTTGTCAATACGTGTGTGATATTATTAAAGTCTTTGTTTTACAAAAAAGTGACTCAGCCTTTGTGCAGCGCGATCCTTTGTTCACGCAGCGCGTTCGCGAACATATTTCTGGTCCTTCGAGCCGGATACTTCTCGCCGGCACCCGCAAGTTTGTGAACGTGACTTCGTGTAGTTCGTGGGCGCTCTTAGTTCACCATGGATGTGAACACGTTGATCGACTGTCAACGTGAGATCCAGGTCCGCATTTCACGTTCCGTGGAATATTTGAAGAAGCTGGGCACCACCAACATCACCGCCAGTGCCGTATCCACACGCACCAGAATCTTAGATCAGCTGTGGACGAAATTCGAGACACAGCATGATCTCATTCGAGCGGCTCTGAAAGAAAAATTTTGCGAGAGCGATTACTACAAGTCGGAGTTACATGGCGATACGGAAAATCTGTACGTTGCACAACGCAGTACTTTAGATAGTTATACCGAACATTTTCGGAAGCCGAACGTGTCTCCATCCGTCGACGTCGCATCAAAGTCTTCGCTGCCGCGCATCAAGTTGCCGCCGTTCTCTGGCGCCTACGCTGACTGGCCATCCTTTCGCGATCTCTTCCTGTCAGTCGTGAGCAGCAATTCAATCTCGAACATTGAGCGCCTTCATCACCTCCGCTCGTGTCTGACAGGTCCGGCTGAAAAGTTGATAAAGTCACTACCTGTCACGAGTGACAACTACGATCGCGCTTGGGCAATCTTGGACAAGCACTACAATAACAAAAGAGAGTTGATCCGCTCCAACTTTGCCACGTTTACCGCCGTGCCAAAGATGAAGGGAGATACCGCCGAGGAGCTGAGCCGCATTCACAACGCTGTCACCGCCGCAGTCAACGCACAGGAGAGCATCGGACGTCCTATCAACTCGCACGGGATGGATCTGTTCAACCACATGGTCGTCGAATTGTTCGACGCACGCACTCGTCTCGAATGGGAGTCAACCACTTCAGACCCCCGAACCAACCACGGAACGAGGCACTTCTCGACTTCATTAGTCGACGGATCTTGACACTCAACGCCGCACGACCGAGGAGTGTCACAAAGGGATCTGGAGAGACATCACGATTCGTCAAAGCGCACGTCACGAAGCACCAAGGCACAGATTCACCTCAGTGTGTACTGTGCCGTGAAAACCATACACTGATGACGTGCAAGGGCTTCAAGGCCAAGACCGCGGTTGAGCGGAAAACGTTCGTGGAGGCCAACCGACTGTGCTTCAACTGCCTAGGCAATCATTTCCTAGCACGGTGTCAGTCAAAAAGGAACTGCCTCACGTGCAACGCGCGACACCACACCATGCTGCACGGGGCAGCCACATCAACACCATCTGCTGAGGCCACTTCACTTGCCACCACACTGGCCACGGCACGGCAAACTGAAACACACAAGGCCGTCCTCCTCGCAACCGCTCGCGTCAAGATCGCTGATCGCTACGGATCACCACACGAGGTTCGAGTCTTGATAGACCAGTGCTCCGAGGTGTCCATCATCTCTGAGGCACTGGCTCAGCGTCTTCGGCTGCCTCGAGCTTCAACAGATCTGTCCATCTTTGGCATCGGAGGGACTCGCTCTGGATCAGCGCGTGGCAAGGTCACGCTAGACATCACATCTGACGTGACCAATGTCGAGCTCCGCGTGGTTGCTTTTGTGCTGCCTCGCATCTCATTGCAGCAAGGCACCTCTCAACGCGAAGATCGTAGCTGGCCTCACATCCAAGGACTTCGACTGGCCGACCCGCGCTTCCTGGACGACGATCCTGCGGAGTTACTTCTTGGAGCAGAAGTTTACGCATTGATCCTCGAGGAAGGTCTTCGCAAGGGCGGATCACGGATGCCGATCGCCCAACAGACGAGCTTAGGATGGATCCTGTCCGGGGGCTACGATGCAGCAGCAACCGAAGGACATCGCAGCACGTTCCAGTGCACCGCAGACCACGACCTCGCTGACATGGTTCGACGCTTCTGGGAGCAGGAACACGAGCCAGTGGCTGGGACACCGCTTACCGCCGATGAAGCCAGATGCGAGGACATCTACGTGCGCACGGTCACACGCACGTCCAGTGGACGATACATGGTGAGGCTGCCATTTACTTCACCGCCGCCGACATCGCTCAGCGAGACTCGTCGACCTGCTGAACGCCTACTGGATGCCATGGAGCGGAAAGGAGCACGAGATCGTCGTTTCGGTGACCTCTATCTAGACTTCATGGAGAATACGGGAACCTACAACATATGGAGAAGGTTAGCACAATTACAACAACTCTGCCCCAGGTGTTACTTACCGCATCACGGGGTCCTCAAGGAGTCAAGCACGACCACGAAGCTCAGGGTCGTGTTCAACGGCTCCCAGCGCACACGGTCCGGAGAGTCGCTGAACGCACACCTCCTCACTGGAGCCAATCTCTTGCCAGCACTCGCTGACGTCCTACTTCGTTGGCGTTGGCATCGGTTCGTGCTCGTCACGGACATCGAGAAAATGTACCGACAAATCCTCGTGCATCCGGAGGACTGTCGCCTGCAAACTATCCTGTGGCGCCACAACAGCTCTGACGACGTCCACGAGTACGAGCTGAGGACCGTGACCTATGGGCTAGCGTGTGCACCCTTCCTCGCCATCAGGACTCTTCATCAACTCGCAGCAGACGAAGAGGCACGATATCCACGCGGAGTCAAGGCACTGCGACACGACTGCTACGTCGACGACGTGGTCACCGGCGCCGATAGCTTGGAAGATGCTATCGACCTTCAGCAGGAACTACGGAGTCTTTGCACGGCGGGCGGATTTCCTTTGAGAAAGTGGGCCGCCAACGATCCTCAGGTGCTCACAGGAATTCCACCAGAACATCAGCTGCAACGTGGGCCGCACTCATGGGAAGAGAGAGTCACGCTACCCTGGGCCTCCGATGGCATCCTCAAGGCGATTGGTTCTCCTTCTCAATTCGTCCACGTCCAGTCACTGATCTCACAAAGCGACGAGTTCTAGCCGAAACGGCTCGGCTCTTTGATCCAATGGGTTGGCTCGCGCCTGTCGTCATCAGAGCCAAAATCCTGATCCAGACGACGTGGCTTCAACGGCTGGATTGGGACTCTCCGCTGCCTGATCAGGACGCACACCGCTGGAGGCAGTTGTTGGATCAGCTTCCTCTATGGATAACATCCGTGTAACTCGCTGGCTCAACACCGGGGACGACCATTCGCAACTGCAGCTCCATGGGTTTGCCGACGCTTCAGAGCGAGGATACGCCGCCGTGGTGTACATCCGCAACGCTGCAACAGAAAAAACGTCAATCAACCTATTGATGGCAAAATCGAAGGTCGCGCCTGTCAAGCAGGTGTCGTTACCTCGCTTGGAACTCTGTGCAGCAGCTCTACTTACCACGCTCATGCTCCACGTGCGCGCTACTCTCGGTTTGACAACGACGCCGGTGCATCTGTGGTCAGATTCAAGGGTCACACTTCATTGGATCCGCGGACACAGCACTCGTTGGAAAACCTTCGTCGCCAACCGAGTATCTCAGATCCAGACCCTGCTTCCAGACGCTCAATGGAGACACGTCGCTGGACGAGAGAATCCTGCAGATTGCGCATCGCGCGGTGTTACTCCTGCTGAATTAATCAATCATGAGTTGTGGTGGACAGGACCTACCTGGCTCTCAGGAGACGAGACTGCATGGCCGGGTTCAAACATCGACGTCCCAGAGGATGACCTCCCGGAGCAGCGAGCCACCGGTCTGGTAATCAAGGCACCGGTCTCGGCAGAACCTGACCTCCTCCTCCGATTTCCAACGCTGCACAGGCTGCTGCGGGTTACGGCATGGTGTCGGCGATGGCTCAATAAGGCGAGACGTGACGCCATACCTGGCCGTCTATTGCATCCGGACGAGCTGGACGTCGCCTTATTTCGATGGCTGCGAGTGGTGCAGGCGCTCCACTTTCCTACGGACGTAGCTGCGGCTTCTGCTGCTGGACGCACTAGCCCACCACGAAGCCACCTAGCGATGTTGAGTCCGGTCCTCGATGATCAAGGCGTGCTGCGCGTCGGAGGACGTCTCAAACATGCTCAGCTACCACTCGACGAGAAACATCCAATGATCATCCCGGCGGCATCATGGTTGACTCGGCTGGTGATCGATTCCTGCCACCGACGGACGCTGCACGGAGGTGTGCAACTGACTCTCGGCCTGCTCCGCCTGCGCTTCTGGGTGCCTCGAGGAAGGACTACCGTCAAACAGCAGCTACACCGATGCATAACCTGCACTCGATGGCGCGCCGCCACACCACAGCCTCCGATGGGTAACCTTCCTCGGGAGCGAGTAACGCCAACTCGACCGTTCCTCAGCACCGGCTTGGACTACGCGGGACCAATCCTCCTCCGGACCAGCAAGGGGCGTGGACACCGTGCGCACAAGGGGTACATCGCAGTCTTCGTCTGCTTCTGGTCAAAGGCCGTTCACTTAGAAGTCGTCTCAGACTACACCTCGGAGGCCTTCATCGCCGCTCTGCGCCGCTTCGTCTCCCGCAGGGGCCTGTGTGCTGAGATCTACAGCGACTGTGGCACGACTTTCATCGGAGCAGATCGGACGCTGCGAGGTCTCTTCAACGCAGCGACAGCCGAAGGTCAAAGTGTCATCCTTGCCGCCACCGCTCAAGGAATCCGCTGGCACTTCAACCCGCCAGCGGCCCCGCATTTTGGTGGTTTATGGGAGGCCGCCGTAAAGTCGACCAAGTTCCACCTCCGTCGGGCGACTCTCACGATGATCCGGAGGACGTTTAGTCACTTCGTCGTCAGGCTCTCAGATCGGGGACGTTGACCCCCCCCGGTCACTTCCTCATCGGGACACCGCTCCTCGCCTTGTCAGAACCGTCATTGACAGAGCAGACGGTGTCCACCTTGTCACGTTGGCGTCATCTGCAGCGGATGAGGGATCACTTCTGGCAGCGATGGTCATCCGAATACATGCACGGACTCGCCCCACGCACCAAGTGGCTCAAGGATGCACCTGCACCCCACGTCGGCGATCTCTGCCTCGTTCGCTCCGAGATCACCCCCCCGAACCGATGGCCCCTCGCTCGCATATCGCGTTTGCATCCCGGGGACGATGGAGTTACACGCGTAGTGACGATCCGAACGGCCACGTCCGAGCTCGTGCGCCCACTCGTCAAGCTCGTGTTTCTTCCGGGCGTGAACGACGTTCCTACACCTACACCGCACGTTGACGCATAGCATCACTCACTACACGATCATCACGTCATGCACCATATCAACTGTCACGCTTCACTCATTTCACTCACCACCTCACTATAACACTTGTCTCGTTTTCACCCGCTCACTGCATCGGTCACTCGCCGTTCACATCTGCCACATACTTTCGCCGTTTCAGCTGATCGATTCGCAACACGTGATCACCACGTGTTTCCGCGGCTCAGCTGATCGATTCACTTTACACGCGATCATCACGTGAACCTCGCCGCGCCGGCGCGCCTGCCCCACCATCGATCACTATCGACTTGCGATTCCGCGACCGAAATACCACAATATGTTGTCACTGTGCGACAAGGCGGGCGGGAATGTTTGAAACGCATAATAGAAAACTACTTGTGTAATAAAATATTATATTTTTAAATGGAATATTCTAGAATATTCGCTTCCGATCGCAAGTCAACAGGCATATCGTTTTTTATATGTGTTTTTTCTGGAAAACATATCGCGACACAAATTATCCTGTCGTATAAAAACACGCTCGAAATATAAACAATTAACGGTGTCGCAACCGTTCCGCCGAATAATTATATTTTCTTGAGCATGCGCGGCTTCTCACGGGCGCCTCGTTTCGCCAATAATCATCGTGATTGCCAGCTCGCGCATGCTTTCTAACAGCCGTTGTTCTGTCAAATTTGACAGCGGCCAATTACGCGTAATACGCTCAGGTCACCTCGCGCAACTTTAAAAAGACGCAAAATTATTGGCGCGTCACACGAAGGTGGGCTCCGCTCCGGAAATTATAAATGAGGAGCTCTCACCCCGCTTGCCAGCTTTATCGCTTTTCCGTCGTGAAAACATATCGCAAACCGCTTATCAGATAAACCGCAAAATTCGTTGACGACCGCCGCTATTCCGCACTTTGATTTTTGATTCCGATTTCACTGTAAAGATAATTAAGGTTTTGTAATAAGTTGTTATAGTATTTTGTCAATACGTGTGTGATATTATTAAAGTCTTTGTTTTACAAAAAAGTGACTCAGCCTTTGTGCAGCGCGATCCTTTGTTCACGCAGCGCGTTCGCGAACATATTTCTGGTCCTTCGAGCCGGATACTTCTCGCCGGCACCCGCAAGTTTGTGAACGTGACTTCGTGTAGTTCGTGGGCGCTCTTAGTTCACCATGGATGTGAACACGTTGATCGACTGTCAACGTGAGATCCAGGTCCGCATTTCACGTTCCGTGGAATATTTGAAGAAGCTGGGCACCACCAACATCACCGCCAGTGCCGTATCCACACGCACCAGAATCTTAGATCAGCTGTGGACGAAATTCGAGACACAGCATGATCTCATTCGAGCGGCTCTGAAAGAAAAATTTTGCGAGAGCGATTACTACAAGTCGGAGTTACATGGCGATACGGAAAATCTGTACGTTGCACAACGCAGTACTTTAGATAGTTATACCGAACATTTTCGGAAGCCGAACGTGTCTCCATCCGTCGACGTCGCATCAAAGTCTTCGCTGCCGCGCATCAAGTTGCCGCCGTTCTCTGGCGCCTACGCTGACTGGCCATCCTTTCGCGATCTCTTCCTGTCAGTCGTGAGCAGCAATTCAATCTCGAACATTGAGCGCCTTCATCACCTCCGCTCGTGTCTGACAGGTCCGGCTGAAAAGTTGATAAAGTCACTACCTGTCACGAGTGACAACTACGATCGCGCTTGGGCAATCTTGGACAAGCACTACAATAACAAAAGAGAGTTGATCCGCTCCAACTTTGCCACGTTTACCGCCGTGCCAAAGATGAAGGGAGATACCGCCGAGGAGCTGAGCCGCATTCACAACGCTGTCACCGCCGCAGTCAACGCACAGGAGAGCATCGGACGTCCTATCAACTCGCACGGGATGGATCTGTTCAACCACATGGTCGTCGAATTGTTCGACGCACGCACTCGTCTCGAATGGGAGTCAACCACTTCAGACCCCACCGAACCACCACGGAACGAGGCACTTCTCGACTTCATTAGTCGACGGATCTTGACACTCAACGCCGCACGACCGAGGAGTGTCACAAAGGGATCTGGAGAGACATCACGATTCGTCAAAGCGCACGTCACGAAGCACCAAGGCACAGATTCACCTCAGTGTGTACTGTGCCGTGAAAACCATACACTGATGACGTGCAAGGGCTTCAAGGCCAAGACCGCGGTTGAGCGGAAAACGTTCGTGGAGGCCAACCGACTGTGCTTCAACTGCCTAGGCAATCATTTCCTAGCACGGTGTCAGTCAAAAAGGAACTGCCTCACGTGCAACGCGCGACACCCACACCATGCTGCACGGGGCAGCCACATCAACACCATCTGCTGAGGCCACTTCACTTGCCACCACACTGGCCACGGCACGGCAAACTGAAACACACAAGGCCGTCCTCCTCGCAACCGCTCGCGTCAAGATCGCTGATCGCTACGGATCACCACACGAGGTTCGAGTCTTGATAGACCAGTGCTCCGAGGTGTCCATCATCTCTGAGGCACTGGCTCAGCGTCTTCGGCTGCCTCGAGCTTCAACAGATCTGTCCATCTTTGGCATCGGAGGGACTCGCTCTGGATCAGCGCGTGGCAAGGTCACGCTAGACATCACATCTGACGTGACCAATGTCGAGCTCCGCGTGGTTGCTTTTGTGCTGCCTCGCATCTCATTGCAGCAAGGCACCTCTCAACGCGAAGATCGTAGCTGGCCTCACATCCAAGGACTTCGACTGGCCGACCCGCGCTTCCTGGACGACGATCCTGCGGAGTTACTTCTTGGAGCAGAAGTTTACGCATTGATCCTCGAGGAAGGTCTTCGCAAGGGCGGATCACGGATGCCGATCGCCCAACAGACGAGCTTAGGATGGATCCTGTCCGGGGGCTACGATGCAGCAGCAACCGAAGGACATCGCAGCACGTTCCAGTGCACCGCAGACCACGACCTCGCTGACATGGTTCGACGCTTCTGGGAGCAGGAACACGAGCCAGTGGCTGGGACACCGCTTACCGCCGATGAAGCCAGATGCGAGGACATCTACGTGCGCACGGTCACACACGCACGTCCAGTGGACGATACATGGTGAGGCTGCCATTTACTTCACCGCCGCCGACATCGCTCAGCGAGACTCGTCGACCTGCTGAACGCCTACTGGATGCCATGGAGCGGAAAGGAGCACGAGATCGTCGTTTCGGTGACCTCTATCTAGACTTCATGGAGGAATACGGGAACCTACAACATATGGAGAAGGTTAGCACAATTACAACAACTCTGCCCCAGGTGTTACTTACCGCATCACGGGGTCCTCAAGGAGTCAAGCACGACCACGAAGCTCAGGGTCGTGTTCAACGGCTCCCAGCGCACACGGTCCGGAGAGTCGCTGAACGCACACCTCCTCACTGGAGCCAATCTCTTGCCAGCACTCGCTGACGTCCTACTTCGTTGGCGTTGGCATCGGTTCGTGCTCGTCACGGACATCGAGAAAATGTACCGACAAATCCTCGTGCATCCGGAGGACTGTCGCCTGCAAACTATCCTGTGGCGCCACAACAGCTCTGACGACGTCCACGAGTACGAGCTGAGGACCGTGACCTATGGGCTAGCGTGTGCACCCTTCCTCGCCATCAGGACTCTTCATCAACTCGCAGCAGACGAAGAGGCACGATATCCACGCGGAGTCAAGGCACTGCGACACGACTGCTACGTCGACGACGTGGTCACCGGCGCCGATAGCTTGGAAGATGCTATCGACCTTCAGCAGGAACTACGGAGTCTTTGCACGGCGGGCGGATTTCCTTTGAGAAAGTGGGCCGCCAACGATCCTCAGGTGCTCACAGGAATTCCACCAGAACATCAGCTGCAACGTGGGCCGCACTCATGGGAAGAAGAGAGTCACGCTACCCTGGGCTCCGATGGCATCCTCAAGGCGATTGGTTCTCCTTCTCAATTCGTCCACGTCCAGTCACTGATCTCACAAAGCGACGAGTTCTAGCCGAAACGGCTCGGCTTTGATCCGATGGGTTGGCTCGCGCCTGTCGTCATCAGAGCCAAAATTCTGATCCAGACGACGTGGCTTCAACGGCTGGATTGGGACTCTCCGCTGCCTGATCAGGACGCACACCGCTGGAGGCAGTTGTTGGATCAGCTTCCTCTATTGGATAACATCCGTGTAACTCGCTGGCTCAACACCGGGGACGACCATTCGCAACTGCAGCTCCATGGGTTTGCCGACGCTTCAGAGCGAGGATACGCCGCCGTGGTGTACATCCGCAACGCTGCAACAGAAAAAACGTCAATCAACCTATTGATGGCAAAATCGAAGGTCGCGCCTGTCAAGCAGGTGTCGTTACCTCGCTTGGAACTCTGTGCAGCAGCTCTACTTACCACGCTCATGCTCCACGTGCGCGCTACTCTCGGTTTGACAACGACGCCGGTGCATCTGTGGTCAGATTCAAGGGTCACACTTCATTGGATCCGCGGACACAGCACTCGTTGGAAAACCTTCGTCGCCAACCGAGTATCTCAGATCCAGACCCTGCTTCCAGACGCTCAATGGAGACACGTCGCTGGACGAGAGAATCCTGCAGATTGCGCATCGCGCGGTGTTACTACTCCTGCTGAATTAATCATCATGAGTTGTGGTGGACAGGACCTACCTGGCTCTCAGGAGACGAGACTGCATGGCCGGGTTCAAACATCGACGTCCCAGAGGATGACCTCCCGGAGCAGCGAGCCACCGGTCTGGTAATCAAGGCACCGGTCTCGGCAGAACCTGACCTCCTCCTCCGATTTCCAACGCTGCACAGGCTGCTGCGGGTTACGGCATGGTGTCGGCGATGGCTCAATAAGGCGAGACGTGACGCCATACCTGGCCGTCTATTGCATCCGGACGAGCTGGACGTCGCCTTATTTCGATGGCTGCGAGTGGTGCAGGCGCTCCACTTTCCTACGGACGTAGCTGCGGCTTCTGCTGGACGCACTAGCCCACCACGAAGCCACCTAGCGATGTTGAGTCCGGTCCTCGATGATCAAGGCGTGCTGCGCGTCGGAGGACGTCTCAAACATGCTCAGCTACCACTCGACGAGAAACATCCAATGATCATCCCGGCGGCATCATGGTTGACTCGGCTGGTGATCGATTCCTGCCACCGACGGACGCTGCACGGAGGTGTGCAACTGACTCTCGGCCTGCTCCGCCTGCGCTTCTGGGTGCCTCGAGGAAGGACTACCGTCAAACAGCAGCTACACCGATGCATAACCTGCACTCGATGGCGCGCCGCCACACCACAGCCTCCGATGGGTAACCTTCCTCGGGAGCGAGTAACGCCAACTCGACCGTTCCTCAGCACCGGCTTGGACTACGCGGGACCAATCCTCCTCCGGACCAGCAAGGGGCGTGGACACCGTGCGCACAAGGGGTACATCGCAGTCTTCGTCTGCTTCTGGTCAAAGGCCGTTCACTTAGAAGTCGTCTCAGACTACACCTCGGAGGCCTTCATCGCCGCTCTGCGCCGCTTCGTCTCCCGCAGGGGCCTGTGTGCTGAGATCTACAGCGACTGTGGCACGACTTTCATCGGAGCAGATCGGACGCTGCGAGGTCTCTTCAACGCAGCGACAGCCGAAGGTCAAAGTGTCATCCTTGCCGCCACCGCTCAAGGAATCCGCTGGCACTTCAACCCGCCAGCGGCCCCGCATTTTGGTGGTTTATATGGGAGGCCAAAAGCCGTCCATTCTGACGCAAGTTCCACCTCCTTCCGGGGGCACTCTCAGATGATCCGAGGACGTTTCGGCGCTGACCCCCGGTCACTTCCTCATCGGGACACCGCTCCTCGCCTTGTCAGAACCGTCATTGACAGAGCAGACGGTGTCCACCTTGTCACGTTGGCGTCATCTGCAGCGGATGAGGGATCACTTCTGGCAGCGATGGTCATCCGAATACATGCACGGACTCGCCCCACGCACCAAGTGGCTCAAGGATGCACCTGCACCCCACGTCGGCGATCTCTGCCTCGTTCGCTCCGAGATCACCCCCCCCGAACCGATGGCCCCTCGCTCGCATATCGCGTTTGCATCCCGGGGACGATGGAGTTACACGCGTAGTGACGATCCGAACGGCCACGTCCGAGCTCGTGCGCCCACTCGTCAAGCTCGTGTTTCTTCCGGGCGTGAACGACGTTCCTACACCGCACGTTGACGCATAGCATCACTCACTACACGATCATCACGTCATGCACCATATCAACTGTCACGCTTCACTCATTTCACTCACCACCTCACTATAACACTTGTCTCGTTTTCACCGCTCACTGCATCGGTCACTCGCCGTTCACATCTGCCACATACTTTCGCCGTTTCAGCTGATCGATTCGCAACACGTGATCACCACGTGTTTCCGCGGCTCAGCTGATCGATTCACTTTACACGCGATCATCACGTGAACCTCGCCGCGCCGGCGCCTGCCCCACCATCGATCACTATCGACTTGCGATTCCGCGACCGAAATACCACAATATGTTGTCACTGTGCGACAAGCGGGCGGGAATGTTTGAAACGCATAATAGAAAACTACTTGTGTAATAAAATATTATATTTTTAAATGGAATATTCTAGAATATTCGCTTCCGATCGCAAGTCAACAGGCATATCGTTTTTTATATGTTTTTTCTGGAAAACATATCGCGACACAAATTATCCTGTCGTATAAAAACACGCTCGAAATATAAACAATTAACGGTGTCGCAACCGTTCCGCCGAATAATTATATTTTCTTGAGCATGCGCGGCTTCTCACGGGCGCCTCGTTTCGCCAATAATCATCGTGATTGCCAGCTCGCGCATGCTTTCTAACAGCCGTTGTTCTGTCAAATTTGACAGCGGCCAATTACGCGTAATACGCTCAGGTCACCTCGCGCAACTTTAAAAAGACGCAAAATTATTGGCGCGTCACACGAAGGTGGGCTCCGCTCCGGAAATTATAAATGAGGAGCTCTCACCCCGCTTGCCAGCTTTATCGCTTTTCCGTCGTGAAAACATATCGCAAACCGCTTATCAGATAAACCGCAAAATTCGTTGACGACCGCCGCTATTCCGCACTTTGATTTTTGATTCCGATTTCACTGTAAAGATAATTAAGGTTTTGTAATAAGTTGTTATAGTATTTTGTCAATACGTGTGTGATATTATTAAAGTCTTTGTTTTACAAAAAGTGACTCAGCCTTTGTGCAGCGCGATCCTTTGTTCACGCAGCGCGTTCGCGAACAGATGTATTTTCAATATCTATATTTATTAATAATAATTTGCTGTTGTAAACATTGATTTTTATTGATTTATAAAGAAAATTATTATATAATATACCCGCTAAACAGAAACATACAGGGGATGTACATTTCGGCAATAATATTGCAAATTTAAACGTTACTAAATTGTTTATGAAATGTTTCGTAAACGTTTCAAATAACATTTCAATTGCAACATTCATGCACTGTTCCAGAACTGTAACATTTTGGCTGTTATATCGATAATTTGAAATGTTAGGAAAGAAATGTTTGGCAACATCCTAGAAACATTTCATTTGGGATGTTCAGTTTGTAACGTTCAGAGACATTACAGCATTGTTACATTTGCGACGTTCATAACTGTATTTAAAACATTCCATAAACGTTTCATTTTGGGATGTTTAGTTTGTAACTTTAGAGACATGACAGCAATGTTACATTGCTACGTTCATAAAACATATATTTTAAAACATTCCATAAACGTTTCATTTGGGATGTTTAGTTTGTAACGTTCAGAGACATTACAGCAATGTTACATTTGTGACTTCCTGAAACATTTAATTTCATAATATTCTATGAACGTTTTATATGAAACATTACTTTGTAACATATTCAAAATATTACACTGCATTGCAGATTTTATATATTTGTGTTTTGTACAATTGTTTTTGTACATTGTGTTACTCAACGTTTTTGAATAATAACACAAAGCTTTTTAGTAAATATCAGGTACGTATTAGATACATTAATATAAATAAGGTACGTAATATACATTAATAAATAAGTACGTATACATTAATAAATCACTGAATTTTTAATATTTTAAAATTTATAATATTTTGAAAATAGTTTTTTGTTTAACGTTTCATGCAAACAAAGTTAAGTAAACAAAAGTATAGTTTCATATTTTTATTTAAAAAATGTACAAATTTTAATTGAAATATTATAAATAATCGTGTTTTATACATATATGTACTCAATTAATCTTTGCGACAGTCGAAAAAATATTTCACTTCGTGGTGACTTAAAAAAATCTATTGTAACATATTTACTATACCACAAATATCTCATACATGTTCCAAGAATGTTTTTAGAATCTATAATAATCACCGCTCGTTCGTTAGCAACGAGTTGATACGCGTAACTAGGGAGCGCGGCGTTTCGTCTCAGGAGCTTTCGTATGTGAATAAGAATACCCAATATAATAATAAGACAATTGTGTTTGTCGGGCTTTATTGGAGGTTTTATAAGTCGTTTTATAATTAAATTTTAATTCATCTTTATTTATAACTGGAAGCAATGGATCTGCCTGTGGTGACGTTCGAGATTCCTGCCATGTAAGTATATATTGGTGTATATATATTTATTTTAATAACGTAAATACCATAAAATCTTAAAAACTACGTATTAACTATATGAGCATCTCATGTGAATGATTTTAATTTTTCAGTGATTTTTTTATCAAGTCAATAATAGCAATACTGACATAAAAATTAAAACAATAATGGCTAAAAAAAAAAAATGTTTTGTTACAAAACGTCATATGAGACGGATGGTAAAAAAAGAATTAATACACATCTTGCAGTTGAATCGACAATTAATTCAGACGAATAATTTGCCTAATAACATAAAAACAATTATAAATGTAGATACTGTCATAAATGTAAATACTACAAATATAAATGTAGATACTGCAAAGAACATAATGAAAAACAAGAACAATGTGAAAACCATGATAATGTGATTCCCGAGATTCCAGAAAAATTGAGATTGAACCATTGGAATATATTGATGTGATTGAAGAAATTAACTGTTCAGATACTTCTTTATCATTTGAAAATTTATGTAATAATCTCCCTATTGTAAATGATTTCATAGTTAACGCTGTGAAACAATGGTTTTTAAAATACAGACATTTGCTTAGTCAATCTGCCATGAATGAATTGTTGGGTATTCTACGAGTGATATTTCCACAATTAGCAAAAGACTCGCGAACTCTTTTAAAAACACCAAGTTCATGTCCATATGAACTTAAAAGTGTTCCTCCAGGTTTCTATTGTCACATTGGCATAGAGAATGGACTACGTAGGATAATTAATAATAGTTTAAATATGCAAAAACATTTGATGCAAAATGTAGAAATAGTATTACCTCTTAACATAAACATTGATGGTTTACCGATATCTAATTCTTCAAAAAGTCAACTCTGGCCTATTCTTATCTCCATAGATCTAAATCTGGTTGATAAAATATTAAAAAACTTTTGCGGCTGGGATATATCACGGACACAAGAAACCAGCCTATGTAGACCAATTTTAACTGAGTTTATAACAGAGTTCAAACATTTAGAACAAAATGGTTTTAACATAAATAAAAAATAATAAAAGTAAAGGTTGGTAAACTTCTTTGTGATGCTCCTGCAAAATCATTTATTTATGTATTAAAGGTCATACAGGCTATAATGCCTGCACAAAATGCATTCAAGAAGGGACCTTTGTTAATGGAAGAATGACTTTTTTACAACAAATGCACAATTGCGGACTGATTTCAGTATCAGAAATAAATTAGATGAGGAATTCCATAAAGATACAAGTCCTTTCGAAAAGCTAAATATTGGTTTCGTATCTCAAGTTCCTCTCGATGGCATGCATTTTGTATTTCTAGGCGTAGTTAAAAGATTAATTATGTTTTGGATAAGAGGGAAAAAAAATCATCGTTTACCCGAGACTGATAAAAATGATATTAATAATCATTATTGTTTTTGAAGAATTATGTGCCGAAAGATTTTCCACGCTTGCCAAGAAGTTTAGAGGACATTGAATACTATAAAGCCACTGAATTAAGCAATTTTTATTATACACCGGACCAATTGTTTTAAAAAAGATTGCAAACAAAATATATAGACACATTTCATGGCCTTATCCTGCGCTTTCGAATTTTATGCAGTCCTGCATTATAACAGAGTTTTATATAATTATTCATTGAAACTACTCGAATACTTTGTTCAAAAAATGCAATACTTACGGAAAAGAATATATTACTCTAATGTTCATGGCCTTTATGCATTTGCCCATAGATTGCTTGCAACGTGGTCCACTTGACACTTTCAGTTGTTTTAAATATGAAAATTATTTATTTGAGATAAAAAAAACAATTCAAGCTACAAGAAATCCTTTACAACAAATTTGTAATAGGTTAAAAGACAAGAATATATGCAAAACAATGATAATGAAAAAACGTATCCAATTTTACGTCAGCAATGTACTGATCAATTTCATAAACAAGATTTTATATTCTACAAAACAGTAATCATTGAAAAGTTTGAACTAAGCACATGTGATAAAGATAATTGCGTTATGTTAAAAAACAATTGTGTATTTTGTGTCGAAAGTATTTAAAAGAAATCAAGACTTCAGAAATCTTTTTAAAGGGAAAAAATTCATTGAATCAAAACCATTTTTCAGTTCAACCTTGTTCCTCAGAATTATTTAATATTCAGCAAAAACACAACACAACATTTGTCATATGATTTGTACACAGTCAATATTCACGACATTAAAGGGAAATGTGTGAAATTTCCTTACGACGATGGTTTTATCATCATGCCATTGATTCATATGCAAGAATAATATAAAATATAATATAATTGCAAATAATAGTTTAGGTATTTTTAGTAGGTACGAGTATATCAGGAGACGCGGTAGCGTCT